TCTACAAACTCCAGACATCGCATTTTTAGTTGTAACGATACGATGAATCAGCGTAGATGATGATGCGGCATCTCCGTAAGATCTTATGGATCAGACAGTCACTAATACTCATAGAAAATTAGACCATGAGTCTACATACTTACAGAGTAGTTTCGGTTTGAAATGGACGATAGGCTGAATGATCTGCGTTATTCTTGACAACGTGCTCTTTCAGTTGTTCCCACTTACTTTTTAAAGAAATGACAGATGAGGCTTTAATCACGTGTTGAGTTATGAATTCCATTCACTGATGATTCGATTCGTAAGTCGATAGTCAGCTAACAAGTAATTTGTTTCATGCTTATGAACTTTTTTGGAGCGTCCACATACATTCTCTGTTTTGAGAGACAGAAAAAGTGAGGGCATATTAGATGCCGAATTACCACTAAGTTAGTTGAAAACTTTAGTCACGTCACCTCCAGTTCTTCGATATGACGAAGGGAATAGGTTTAGTTTAGCCAGTCGAGCATCATACAGTAACTACATTATTTCGGGCAGCAGCTTAGTTAATGTTCTATGAACCTTTACCAAAAACTCACTGTCAACTTTAAGCAGGGGTTAGCCGCTTGTTTATTTATTTATTCATTTGAGCACATATATATTGGTAAAAGAATGCGCCAAATATATATGCGCCACACAAAACAATGAGAATCTAAGAGGAAGGAAAAAAATTGATGTAAGGTGGTGTAATAATAATAATGGTAAAAATGGCGGAACAGAAAGGTACAATCAGAAGAAATCTTTCAGTTAAGGGAGATACAACCACTTTTTTATGAAGAAAGTAAAATAAGTTTACAGCAGGATCGCCACTGACTTCTATTCTGAGCCATATCTAATAACGTTTCTAGCTATTGTGTAGCACCATCTCTCGGACCCCAACCAGGGAGTCGTGAAGGACCGACACAAGCCAGTCATTTACAGCTTTCTTTCATACCACGACACCATGTCATATACTGACCACCTCTCCGCTTTTTCCAACCAGTCCCAGAGTCGGCAAATAATGCACGACGTGGAATTCTCTGAGACGACATTAGTAGAACATGTTCAAGCCACCGAAGTCGGTGTTTCAAGATGGTGACACCAATTGCATTATCGTCTCTATGCCCGAACACACGATGCTGCATTACTAACATGGTGTTGCCACTGGATGTCAGCAATCCTTCGGAGACAACGATGATCGAACACAGAGAGTCGTCTAACGTCCTCAACTCGGAGAGGCCAGGTTTCACAAGCATAGAGCAAAACTGCTCTCACCGACGCGTTGTAAATCCAACCTTTTACGACCGGACTGACATCACGAAGGCGCCAAAGATGGCCCAGATTGGCATAAAACGCTCTGGCTTTCACTATACGTGCATTGTTCTCATCACTCACACCACCACCAGCACTTATGCAGCTACCCAGATACACGAACTTCTCGACTACTTCTATCTGCTCACCATCCAGGGTGAGTACAGGATTATAATCCTGCCATTCTTGTAGAAATACTTTGCACTTCGAAGGTGCAAAGCACATACCGTACCTACGGACACTGATTGTCAACTGACTGCAGTTACAACCTGCTTGGCAGAGTCTATCTCTACACTTCAGAATTATGTGACAGGACTGCATCACTAATGATGTATTTGTGATATTAATGCGATGACTTGTGTGGGTCAACACATCCCTACTAGAATTGATTTCTAGCACCAGTCAACCACTTCAATAGATAACAATTAGTATTATGCTGAAACTCATAAACATCGCCGGATATTATTCTGTAGACAGCTGCATGATGCGAATGTAAGTGTTGACGATCTAGATCTATTCAGAAACTCATCAACATAGAGTAGGAATCTGAAATGGTACAGCACGATGTCATGGATTTTCAGGGTTCGACAATTCATTCATCTGTAACGCCTGTAAAGTTGAAGGAGTTCAAAAACATATTTCGAAGATAGTCGGTATGTCTGGAAATATGTGAACTAAGCTGGCTAGTTGTTGCGTAGCACTGCATACCCATTGATGACATAGTGAGGATGAGTTGCCGAGCGCCTTCAGCTAGGGTGAACCCAGTGAAATTGATCAGGTCAGAATGAATAACAAAGCCTTATAAAACTACTTTTCTGGGGGATTTATGAACCTCTATAATATCACAACTTGAAACTTTCACAAGCTTTCATCCAAATAGTGTTCAACTTACTCTCATTATGTTTTGGACACCAGAACAAAAATATGTGTCACAGACTATCCCTTACCATTCAAAGCTCTTGAAACAAGGAATAAAAGATATCTCATTTGTGAGATTGAGCATTGAAGGTTGTTACATATAGTCGTTAGTTGCTAGAAAGAGAACCTGCGGTTTTTCAAACAGTTGGTTGGTGTCGTTATTTCGTGCTCGATTCTTAGCTAGCCCGTTTCACACATATTAATGTTTCGTGATTACAGTAAGCATGATTTTTTCTGTCTTAATGTTGCATTATTAATATCACTCACTATATAAAAAGAACATTGGCATTTTCCCTCGCTGAGTTAATTTTATTTTGATCGTTTACTGCGCATCAAGACTACTGTTTTCTCTTTAATTTAATTAATTTCAGTTAAAGTATACTCCAGGAGTATCGTTTTTCTAAATAACTTATGGCCGATACTTTTGAGTACGTTGGTCCGTTTTGCATTTGTTTGTACATTTGGTTCTAACAATTCACAGTTTTTCACTTTTTTTGGTCATCAGTTTCTCTTGTCTCTGGGTATTGTCTGTATCTACTTTTTTTCTAAAAACTCTATATTGATGACTGGGTAGTGCGAAAAAGCGATTGCCAACGCCCAGGTTGTCGACACCCTTCAGAAACTGGTATGCAGTGCAATGAGTGCAATTGGTAGTGCCACGTAGTTTGCACGAATCTAACGCCTGCTGCTTTCAAACGGCTTAGTAAAAATAGTTGCGTATGGTTGTGTCAGCAGTGCTGCTCAGATGTAAATAGCTTGCTATCCGAGGCCAGTGCAATGATGAATGCTGCTAAAAGGAGTGTAAGCAAGCATAGTTGAGACACATGAAATGGTACTCGCTCGGTGGATAAACAAATCAGTGTAAAGTTGCCTTAAATAAGCTCAGAGTCGATTGACTTACGTGGGCCAATGGGCGAACAATGGCCTTTAAAATGGTCTGTTAGAAATAAAAGCTAAAGAAAGGAAGTTCCTTCTGTCTTTCGCCCTCCAAACGGCAGCGAGCAGGGAACACCTAGAAAACCTAGTCGCAAGGCTAGGCCTGTTTCTGTCAGGAAGAACATTCTGATTATCCAAGTGACCGACAATCATTCAGAATTTCATAGTGTGAAACGTGACTGTGATTGCTACTACAATGAATGTTTATGGATGCGTAGTGATCAAGAATAAGAAACGACCTAATGCTGCTAAAGAATAGCCGGCCCCCAAAAGAGCAACTGATAAATTAAAGACTGATCATACTGACAGGTCAGTTGTCTTCCATCGAGTTAAGGCACAGAACACGTTTTAGGCATGAAATTGAGTTGATAGTAGAGCTACTAAACCGGCCAATGCCTCAGAATTTCTCTGGAGTCACTTTGCTAAAGGCTTATAGACTAGTTAGCCAAAAGGGCTTGAAACAAAATCAAACCAGGCTGGTTAAAATAGTATAGTACAGAATGGACATAAACTAAAGGGGTCAGGAGCTTTTGTCCATAAACACTCGTCGTTCGCGAACCACATAAGAAGACGAGGATCAGAAGAAGAACTAAAACTAGGGTTAGATGCTGGTGAGGACCTTAGAATTGTAAACTTGTGAGTGGTGATGCTTCGGCGGAGATAGACTCAACGAAGCCGGATGTAATCGCAGTCACAGAAATTTGGTTGACGTCGTCTATAGACAGTGCGGAACTTGATTTTGAAGTTTTAATATTAGTGAGGACTGACAGAATCCAGAAGCGTAAAGAAGGAGTAACTCTATTCATTAGAAATGCTATCTAATTTACCGTTATTGGTAACATATCCCATGAAAGTGGGACGTGTGGATTAATTAGTTGCCGCTTGTAATTCAAATGACATGAGCTGTTGATTGGTATGATCTATCGCAGTCCAAGCTGTGAGGTAAATGAGGTCTTGCTAGATGGTCTCAATACTTGGTCACAAAGTGGTTGATGTTTAGTCCTAGGAGATTTTAATGCACCTACGGTAGACTGGAAAAATCTGAGAACTGAATTGTCAGAAAATTCCTCCGAGCAGGAACTAGTTGATGAGGTTATCACTGTGCTCTAGTGTAACATTTGAAAGAAGCAACTAGGTAAGACCCGGACTCAGAATAATCCTTACTCAATCTCATATTGACCCGTCATGAGAATGATGTCACAAACTTCCATTATATGCCACCCTTAGGTAAAAGTGATCATGGAGTTATAGTCTTTCGTTTCCATATAGTTGTCAATGACGAGGATGTGTCAGCACAACCCAGACCTAACGTCTGGAAAGCAAATATGAAATGTATTATACGCTTAACATCCTTAGTAGATTGGTCAATAGAACTGGGATCTCCCATGGAAACGTCTTGGGATGCATGCAGAAATTTGTACTGTATCTAATCATCGAAATGACACTTGGAGTCATGACCTTTATGTGTATACGTGCTTTTATGCCTTTGTTGTTCTGTTACCTGGGCTACTACAGATTAAGGTCTCTTAGCTAATTTGTCCAGGGAGGTTGGATTCTATATTCATTATTAGTGATTGGTGATACAGTTCCGAGTTTATACAAAACGTATTTGTGAGCTATCGACTTAGATGGTTTCTTTTTTCATTTGTATTTTGTCTTCTTCCAGTCTGTGTACGTAATTCATGTCTTGACCAAGTATCAAATATGTTGTGGTAAGGTATAAACCAAAGTCATACATACTTTAAAAAATTGTGCTATGCTTTCGATCTCTCCAGCAAGTTAGCGTAATCCCTTGTTTCGGAACTATTCTTTGGACAATGACCATTCAAAATGAAGCCTTTTGCCAGTCCTATGGTTGTCTCGATCTTAACCAGAACCTGTCTGAAGGAGGAAGCCACGAATCACCGTTTCAATCCTCTAAGCACCGTTCCACGCCAAACCTACTAGCTCTATCTAAAAGTCAGATGGAGAGGATTCAGGTAATTTTTCAATCAGTATTCTAATTATTAGATCATATCTGAGTTCCATGATGGTGAAGAAGTACTTGTAAGTGATCTGAAAACTGTCGTTAAGGTAGAAGTTGAACATATTTTAGCCAACTGGATCTAGGTGTACAAATATCCATTAGAAAAATTGGGTATACTTACCTCAACGGAAATAAATAATCTGTTCTATTCAATTGAAGCTATTATACCAGTTTTTGAAGGTTAGTCAGTTTTCATCTTGTGATTCTTATGTTTTAGGATTAGCAAATAGTCTTTCATCAGAAGTGAATAAATATTTCAGCATACCATGCATAGGAATGATCTTATATCTGTGGGTAAGCTTATTACGTTTTTGTAGTTTTGATAAAAGCAACGTGTCGATCATACCAGATGATCCTTCTCTATGACTTCTATTATCCTACTTTGCTAATCTTAAAATACTTTAGCTCACTCTTTCAGTTCTCATGTTAGAGGAGGATAGTTTTATATGTTTGTGGTGAATAACATGAAGAGGGGATGATGCTTTATGTAAAGCTAGGTATTATCTAGTCGTTTTGGTTTGTTGACAGTTTTCATTGTAGTTTATTTAAGTAAGAATCAAAGCATTTGCTCAATATCTTCGACTTCGGTATCTGTGAACATCTATAAGGAAATATGAAATAAAACATTTCCACCACTCTTACTCTTGCTACTAGAAATACGCTGCAGATCCATAGTGGCAATACTTAGTTCTTTTGACTAGGAAGCTATATATCAGTAGAAGCTACCAATAATTTTTATGGGAATAATTATTCAGTGATCAACCACTTATTTATCTATTTATTTGAACACATATATATTGGTACAGGAGTGCGACGAATATATATGCGCCACACAAAACAATGAGAATCAAAGAAGAAAAAAGCGAGGAACGTAAAAGAGAAATAATAATAATAAACAATAACGAAGAGATTGGTGTAAGGTAGCGTAATAATAATAATGGTAAAAATGGCGGAACAGAAAGGTACAATCAGAAGAAATCTTTCAGTTAAGGGAGATACAACCACTTTTTTATGAAGAAAGTAAAATAAGGTTACAGCAGGATCGCCACTGGCTTCTATTCTGAGCCATATCTAATAACGTTTCTAGCCACTGTGTAGCACCATCTCTCGGACCCCAACCAGGGAGTCGTGAAGGACCGACACAAGCCAGTCCTTTACAGCTTTCTTTCATACCACGACACCATGTCATATACTGACCACCTCTCCGCTTTTGTCCAACCAGTCCCAGAGTCGGCAAATAATGCACGACGTGGAATTCTCCGAGACGACATTAGTAGAACATGTTCAAGCCACCGAAGTCGGTGTTTCAAGATGGTGACACCAATTACATTATCGTCTCTATGCCCGAACACACGATGCTGCATTACTAACATGGTGTTGCCACTGGATGTCAGCAATCCTTCGGAGACAACGATGATCGAACACAGAGAGTCGTCTAACGTCCTCAACTCGGAGAGGCCAGGTTTCACAAGCATAGAGCAAAACTGCTCTCACCGACGCGTTGTAAATCCAACCTTTTACGACCAGACTGACATCACGAAGGCGCCAAAGATGGCCCAGATTGGCATAAAACACTCTGGCTTTCACTATACGTGCATTGTTCTCATCACTCACACCACCACCAGCACTTATGCAGCTACCCAGATACACGAACTTCTCGACTACTTCTATCTGCTCACCATCCAGGGTGAGTACAGGATTATAATCCTGCCATTCTTGTAGAAATACTTTGCACTTCGAAGGTGCAAAGCACATACCGTACCTACGGACACTGATTGCCAACTGATTAAGTGCGGATTGCATGCCTTGGGCATTATCACACTGTAAGTTAATATCATCCGCATACTCAAGCTCGAGAAGCCTTTCTCCAGGCAACAGATCCACACCGCCATTACTTATATCCATAAGACCTGTTTCCAGAATGTCATTGATGGCAAAGTTGAAGAGGAATGGTGAGATTGGGCAACCCTGTCTAACCCCACTGCTCGAATGGAACAATGGAGAGAGGTGGTTGTATGCCCTCACTCTGCCTCAGGTTCTTGTACATAAGACCTTTAAGATGTTAATAAACTTCTCAGGCACACCCTTCTTCAATAGACAATCCCAGAGAACAGTCCTATCCAATGAATCGAAGGCAGCCCTGATGTCAAGAAACGCTACGATTGTTGGCCTTTGATAAGTATGACGGTGTTCTAACATTTGCGGAGAGTGAAGGTATGATCAATACATCCTCGACCAGAACGAAAACTAGCCTGCTCCTCGCGAGTCAATCTTTCTCGGGTTTTGAACAACAAACGAAGTATGACAGAAGCCAATAGCTTGGACGCAATCGGAAGTAGACTTATCTCCCGATAGTTTTTACAGGAATGACGTGAGCCCTTTTTAAAGGTAGGGACGACTATCGACTCATTCCATGAAGTTGGTACACTCTCAAGTTTTCAGACCTTTGTAAACACAGTCAGTTCCTTAGCCAGAAAGTCACCACCGTTTTCAAAAAGAGCCGGAGGTAAATCATCTGGGCCAGGTGATTTGTAGTTCTTCAAGAGTTGGAGTTCCTTGAGAACTTCCGCCTCATTTGGTGGATCAGTCGCCACCGGCCATGGATGGCAGGACAGTCTGACCGATGCTGCCGGAGCAGTAGGCCAGTTGAACTGCCCTTTGAAGAATTCTACCCTTCGTCCAAGACGTCGATGGATGTTAGTGATTGGCATCCCGTCATCCTCGCAGATTGTTTCATTCACACCAGACTTCTTGCTGCCAGTGGCTCGGATGAGTTGGAAGAGCTTCCGGTAATTACCAGATGCAGCTGCTGCTTCCTGCTCATTAGCACGCTCCGACCACCAGGCTTCTCGGTCCTTACGCAAGCTTTACCCAATTTCACTATGTAACAACCTTCGTTTGTGGTCAAACTCACAGTCACCCGGAGTAGACCGACGGGCTTCAATGAGTTGTAAGGAACCAGAAGAAACCCAGTGCTTAAAAGCGGGACGTTTCACAAACCCACAACTGACTGTACCCACCATTTTCATGGCGTCATGCAATTGCAACCAATGCTCATCTATACTTTTCGGTAGAATGGTAGCTAGCCTAGAGGCTAGCGCGGTTCGATACTTACTTGCAACAGAAGTTGCAACCAGCTTGCTAACATCAATCCGTTGGTGGCGGTCACTTCGTAGTCCACTGAAAAGTAAGGTAAGATTGGCGCAGACCAAAGCATGGTCAGAGTCCAGATAGGTACTCCAAAAGGAGCGGCAGTCTTTTACACAACCACGCCAGCGGTAGCTGATCGTGATGTGATCAATCTGAGTCCAGGCTTGAGATGCAGAGGGAGGACGCCAGGTGGCACATCGGCGATGACTGTGCCGAAAGTTAGTGCTAGCCAGAAACAGGTTGTGGTCTGTGCACAGTTGCAGTAGACGGTCCCCGTTATCTGTACTGCGACCAACATGTCCACATCGGCCACCTAAGCGACTCTCTTCTGTGCCTAGACGCCCGACCTGAGAATTCAAGTCTCCGGCTAGTACTACAATATCTGTCGAAAGCACGTTCTGGAGAAGAACAGATAAATGGTGGTAAAACTCATCCTTGATTGCATCCGGGCTGCAATCTGTCGGGGCATAAGCGGAGATGACGAAAAGACATCGTTTCTCACGCCGATTTCTTCTCACTTTGATGGAACTTTCTAATCTAACAGCACATGACCGATTGTTAATGGAGATCCAATCGATTAGTGCTGCCTCAGCTCTAGCGCTTAGTGCAACACCAACGCGAGCAAGACCAGACGAAGATGCCACAGGGTCCCCGGATAAACGCACGTAAAACAAGCTTTTTGAAGCGACAGATGGAGAGCGGATTTGTAGTACTTCACCAGAGTCTTGAATACGGGTCTCGGATAGGCAACAAACGTCGATATTAAGACTTTCCAATAACATAGCCAGGCCTATCTGTTGTCCGACCTGCATAAATGTGCGAACGTTGAAGGCAGCCAGTTTGAATGGTGCACGTGGTTTCAGAAAAACTGCTTCAGTACTCATATTCGGTGGTAACATACAATTTTCAACCGGACAGTGACTCGAGAACGTTTAGATACAGTCGAATTTCCACCATAGACGGGCTGCTGTATAAGTCGAAAAAGTAAGTATAAACAGAGTGGGAATAAAAGAGGGTGAATAATGACGTAGTAAATAATAATAATAATAATAATAATAATAATAATAATAATAATAATAATAATAATAATAATGCGAGTCACTTGATTGTTATTTGAAGCGAGAGGAATATTTTTCATAAGTAGGTAGTATATCATGTTTTTGTGTGCGGGCTGAGATACTGCCCGGGTGCCCAAACCGAAGCAGGTGGTTTCCTTAGGGGGCTACACCCCGAGCCTTTGACCTAAAGGTCTAACCCACAAGGCAGTGGAGCATCGTGAGGAGATGCAGTTCCATGGTAGCCGGTGACCAAGGAATTGGTTCATACGCCATTTGTTCCCGCAGGATACTGGAGCCCATGTGCACCATTGATTTGGAATCAGGTTAAAGCGCCGGACATTCGCTTTTCGCCCTCTCATTTTCGTAAACAACACCCCTGCCACGAGAAGGACAGTGAGTAGGACTTCCCTGGCAGAGGCTGTATACGCGTGGCCGTGTGAGAGTATTTCGAGAGGGTAGGCGAACCCACCCCGCTCTCGGCCATACCAGGGCATTTGGGGGCAGCCATTTGTTTTAAGCGTATATGATTGGTTAATCGGTCTTATTAAATCCTTCACATACTGGCACATTTGTGGCTACAACAATTAGCATGTCTAAATTAGAATATTTTAGCAAGATCATAAACCTCTTCCATTACTTCTCAGCCTTCATACCTGTAAGCCATTAATATATGCATTTGTTAATCACGAAGTGATCTTCCTGTATGGTTATAAATTACTCACAGTAAATTTCTTGTCTACCGTCTTGTATGATTCCTTACATGATAACGTTTATCTTGAAGACTTTCGGCAGTAAGAGGAGGAAAGTAAAAGCCTTAGGAGTCTTCTTGATGACTGAATGACAAAACACAAAGTACTAAGCTGTTAGTGTATATCGCGTACTATTTTTAGGTCGTAAAATTTTCAGCTTTCAATATCTGCTTAAGGTTAACTTTGACCTATACTTGTATTATTATTCACAACTCTCTTTGTTCAAATAATGACTGTTTAGCAATTCCAAAAAAGTAATATAAAGTGCAAACCTTTTTGATTGCCATATGAATCGAAGGGATTCCATGCAAACGTTTATTAAAAGACAAACAGAACAAAGAAATGTTCGTCATAATTAATTTTCGTTCATTGCTCTTCATCAACATATGTTTAACAATGATAAAATATACCAGTTAAGTGGTAGTGTTTTAGATCATTAAAATAAGATTATAAATGAATTGGTTACCAGGTTTGAAATTCGTATAAAATAGATGGCAAAATCATGTTTTATTGAAAGTTTCTTTCTTATGGATTTGGATTACATTTTAGTTGTGTTTAACTGAACTGTAAGGATAGAGTTTACTTGAGTCATTATTTTAGAATTTTTCTGACATGTTTAATTAACTAATGTTGTTTGCGAAATGACTATTGAAAATGAGGGTCGATTTTTAAGTCAGTTATAGGTCTCACGTAAAGAGAAGAAATACCGACTAAAATGTTTAGATATAGTTGTTGGAAGAAAAAGGAGTTACTAGAACTTTCTGTAGGTCGATTGATGGAGTAAGACATTACTGGCTTTTAATCATTATTTTTAGTTTTCCATAAACAACTATTTCCTGTATAACAATTGTACATGTTATGCTCTATTTGGTGTTCTTATCTTTTGTTAATCATCATTATTTTAAATTTATGGATTTCGATGTGATAGGCTTTGCATATGCTTCAAACTGATACTTTTGCACAAATCCTGAACTAGATAGAATATGACATTAGCTAGGCGAATGATATATGTTGAATTATCTCACCCAGTTTTTTGAATTGTATATTCTGTAGAAACTGATATTATTGTTCTACTATATATTTTCTCGTATTAGTTGGGTCTTGAAGTAATAACAAAGCCACAACCTGATTACCTTAATTATGGACGTAGATGTTATCCATATCCAACACAGAATTATGTTCAGTCTATCTGTGAGAGTTACATCGAGATGATGCCTTCATCAATAAAACTTCTCTTGGATTATTCAGCCCACTTATATGAAGCACGTAAATATTTTGAGGCTTTACGCGAACAAAAGCCTGCTTTTACTGATTTTCTTTCACGTTGTTCACATACACATTTCAGTAAACGTTTGGATTTGTGGCATTTCTTGGGTAATTCATCCTTGTAGTATTTTTGTATAAGATTATTTTATGAGTAAAGTTTTACGCTTTTTTTCTTATAGTTGACAATTATTCCTATTTATCATATCAATATTTCTAATATATTGTTCAATTGGTTGACTATATCATTGTTATATATATATGGCTGGTTAGTTTTCACTCTTACATAGGGTCTTAGAACATTAACTTGAATAAAGTTCTAGAGCTGGTTTAATACTGGGGCATGATCCTGTAGCCACAATAACGTAGTTTGTCTATCACCAAATGAAAATTTGGAGTTTAGATTATTAATACAGTAGATAATTATCTTACTTGTGGGGTATCTATATCTAGTAAGCACTTGTAAACCTTAATAGACCACAAAGTAACATATTACCAAGAGTATGTTTATGGTACTGGAGAAAGAGGGGAACATTCGGTTTGACAATTAAACTGGAAATTTGTATGATTTTTACTGATTACTACTTAACATCCAAATACCATGGTATTGTGAGAGTGAGGAGAGTCCATTCCCATGCAGTTTATAACCCCTGTCAGGTAAGTCCTACTTATTATTACCTTCACGGAACAGGAGTTATGTTTCTGTATATGAAGTGTCATGTCCAAACAAAGAATAAATGAATGGTAACTGCTAGGAATTGTTTATGGACTATTAATACGTATATTATTATCATATAATTATTATGTAACTAGATTACACATATATTCATATTCCTTTTATCATAAGCTTTCATTTGACCCATTAGCTACCATTGTACGATTTACCATCCTTAATTTATTCCCAATCTGTTTTCCACAGTCTTTTATACTGAACCTCTTTTGGCTTGATCTTGTATAATAATTATTTTTCACTTGGTGTGATGCGGTGTAGTCTGCTTGTATATAAACCACGTATGTCTGAAGCATATGATTTATACAGCGGAGGGGGATATTGTGTTCTAGACTCAACGGGCAGGGTTAAGCGAGTTGACTGAAGACTGCTATTGCTGGTTGGCGTGTCACCAGCTTAGCACAAGGACAATGTCATAGAAGTCGGTATTCCGATTATCGATTTTGTGACGTGATGTTTGACGGGCCATAGGACATAACAGAAAGGACGAAAAGCGAAATCCCAGGTGCAGAGAGTCCACCTTGGGGGAGTTGAATAACCTCTATTTCAAACTAGTGGTGTGCATGGGCCTCAGGATCTCAAGGGGACGAATGATGTTCAAACCATGAGACGGTAACTACCACTATTACTTCTCCACCTTGTGGATCAGATTTTTAATCCTAGTGCTCGAGGAATGGGTGCCTATAAAACTGCCTATTTCTGTTTAGGTGCTCGGGCGGTATTCCAGCTCGCGCACAAATATTTGTATCATGTCTATTATTTTTGGTGCTCATTTTTACCAAGTTTCACGTGGCCTTACCGCGTTTATTCTTTAAAAGTATAGTAAGCAAATGATCGGTATTAAATATTCGCCTTTTAAGATTGTTTCAGACTATGCTTAATCGATATTGGTGGATATCTTATCAAAACTTTTTTGTATGCAACGATCAATAGGTTTTGAAGGCTTTTATTCGTTTTTTTAGAGAATATAGTAAGAAAAACTTCTGGAAATAGATCTGTCACTAAAAAAATTATGTAACTTCACGTTTGAGGTGATTCTACTTTGTATAAATTTATTTGCTTCTGATTGTTTTTTTTTTTAAATTGCATAAAACGTGACGTACTTCAGTAATGAGCTCAGTTTTCTGTACTTGGTGTCATCCTGTTTTGTGAAAACGTTGCAGTATTTGCTAAGCGAGAAAAAGAGATGTTTGTCGAGTTCTCATCAACAAACTATGCGTAATTGTTTACGCCGAGTTTGCACTCTGTCATTGTTTTTATGTCTCCATCTGTTGTATGTACGTAGATAATTATGAATGTGTGCCTTAATGCTCTTATTTTCTTGTAAAAAATGCTCTTTTTATTATCATTCTTTTGTATTTTGAGTCTGTTTCTACTTTCCTTTTCTATAGAATGTCCCAAAAGCAGACTGACTAGGTATCCTTTATTACTGAATCGACTGATCGAATTGGTGAGTTTTCCTGATACTTTCATTGTTTGTTCATGATTTCCAAGATATTCTTTCGTCAGACTACCACTAATAATGTGTTCAGGGATAAAGGCTCATAAGACTTAATAGATCTCTAATGTAGTGGTCAAGTATGCATACTTTTACGCTGTTTATAATTTTTTACTGTTGAAATTGTTATTGAAAATCTGACCAGTAACTACCTTCATTTTATCTTCGGGTTTGTTGAGAATAGTGTTCCCTTCTTTGCTTCCTTTTACATCTTTTTTAGTTGGTTTGAAATTGAGACAGAAGGTGCTCGAAGAACATAGTACCGTTGACTGTTATATCTTGCTTTATGTAATATTCTGTACATTTTATCCCATGATAATGCACAAACAATTGTTAAGTTTGCAAGTGATGATGTAAAGTAGTTTCTTCTTCGGAATAATGAAGAATATGAGATTATATTTAAATTAATCAATAACCTAATGGTTTGGTATGATTGTGATTTTATCACCATTTTGGTTACCGTGTTGGTCAGTGTTCGGTAACCGCATAAACGGGATTGAATAATCTTAGGGTTATTCACTTTATAATTTGGGATCACGATATGGATTATAGTTAGTTGTGTTGGATTAGCTGTTATCAATACAACATGTCTCTCCAACTGAATGTTTAGAAGCCGTTCAAAGTAATGTTTTGGGAATTTATGTGATATCAAATGGGATCAAAATTAGGGTTCTCGTATTACTCTTAAGCAATTATATAACACATTATTAACCTCTTACCTGTGATCTGTAATTTTTATTTACTTTTTAGACACCTTCAACCGATCCAGAACTCAGTCATTTACTCGTTGTGCGGTCCGCCTTCACCTTTATAATTGACGAGTTAAACCGTCGAGTTGGTGAAGCTATGCGTAATTTGTACTTAAAATGCATAGGATTCCACGGCAACTTAGAAGTACGTCCTCCACTTGTCTGATGAAGGGTTTTTGTTAATTTTTGTTTTGTTGTAAGTGTTTGCTTTCTCTGGAAGCCAAAATATCTATTTTGTAAGTATTGTCAATCCGAAGTATGAAAACATCAGGCTTGACAATTAGTAATCTTAAACAAGTAAAGCATCGGTGTAAATATATAAATTTGTAGATGCTGCTGTACTCTGGTCACAAAGAAGAAAATGCTTCGCACACTTAGGGGTTTGGCCTGATGTTGTCTAAAGAAGCACATAATACACTTATAGTATGGGAATTTCATGGACCCAAAATCATCAAAGCATCTTTCAAAACAAAGAAGAAGGGAATCACAATGAAAGTTATTCAGTGTTATACATCAGTTTTATGAGAGGCTGCAGTCGATCATAGAGAATTGCCAAGGAAATAACGTGACCATCTTGATAGGAGACCTAAACGCCAAAGTTGGGATGGACAACACCGGATATGGAGATATCATGGGACGACATGGACTGGGAGAAAGGAACGAAAATGGAGGGAGGCTTTCAGATTTATGTGCATTCAACAAAATTATTATAGGCAGCACTATATTACCCAACAAACGTATACATAAAGCTACATGGGCTTCACCAGACTACACTACAGATCGTATTTACATCACTAGAAATGCAGAAGATCAATAGAAGACTTGAGAACCAAGAGAGAAGCTGACATAACCTTGTGGTTGTCAAGATGAAAGTAAGGCTAAAAAAGTACTGCACAACTGGGGAAACAGCATTACAAAGGTTCAATATAGCTTTCCTTCGAGATACTGACAAACTCAATGAATTCAAGATAGGTCTCAACAGCAGGTTCCAAGCCTTACAAGATCTACTAAAAGAAGAAACTACTATGGACAGCATTTGGAAGGCATTCAAAAAATCACTAAATTCAACATATCACGAGGTTCTGAGCTTCAAGAAACACTATCATAAAGAGTGGATCTCTATGGGAACTCTGGACAAGACTCAAGTAAGGAAGAGCGAAAATACAGCAATTAACAACAGCCGAACAGGAGCAGAGAAATTCAAGGCACAAGTTGAGTACACAGAAGCAAACAAACAAGTGAAGAAGAGCATTGAAGCCGACAAGCAGAAATACGTGGAAAAACTAGCAACGACGGCGGAATAAGCTGCAAGACAATGAAATCTGAAACAAATATATGGTACAACGAAGAAACTAGCAGGGAAATATAGTAAACCCGAGAAACCGGTCAAGGACATTGAAGGTAAGCCAATCACTGAGGTCCAAGAATAGAAAAATAGATGGGTAAAACACTTTCAAGAACTATTGAATAGGCCAGCTCCATTGAACCCACTGGCACCTTCAAACCTCCCTATAGATGTCACTCCATCAACGACTGAAGAAATCAGGATGGCCATCAGATAAATCAAGGGTGGGAAAGCAGCAGGACCTGACAATCTACTAGCTTAAGCACCTAAATCAGACATATAAGGGACTGCGAAAATGCTTCACACTTTATTCATGAAGATTTGGGAGGAAGAACAAGTGCCGATGGAAAGAAGAATGCCAAAAAGGGGATCTGAGCAAATGTAAGAACTCTAGAGGCATCACACTTCTATCAGTACCAGGAAAGTTTTTCATCAGAGCGTTGCTGAACCGAACAAATGCAGATGAAGACAACTAGTGTAGCAGCAGTCTGCATCGGTAGGCCTCAACATATACAAGGGGGAAAGCAAGATCCCCAAATACAACGGAGAGAACACCAATCCAATCACAGTTGATGGAGAAACTGTAGAAGAGGTGGAATCTTCTACGTACCTGAACAGCATCATCGATGAAGTGGGAGGATCCGATACAGACATAAAGACCATTGTTGGCAAAACAAGGGCAGCACTTCAACACTTGACGAACATATGGAACTCAAGACAACTGTCAACCAATATCAAAGTCACAATCCTAATTAAATACTAACGTCAAGACAGTTCTGTACGGAGCTGAAACTTAGAGAACTGCCACAACCATCATCAAAAAGTACAAGTATTTCTAAACAGTTGTCTTCGTAAGATACTGAATATCCTTTGGACGAATACTATCAGCATCAGCCCATTGTGGGAGAGGAGAAAATAGCTTTGATCTGAAGAGGAAATTAGGAAAAGATGCTGGACATACAGTGCGGAAATCATCAAACTGGATCACGAGGGAAGTGTCAACTCGGAATCCTGAAGGGAAACAGAAAAGAGGAAGACCAAAGGACATATTGCGCCGGGAATTGGAAGCAGACATGGAAAGGATTGAAGAGAACTGAGTTGGATGGAGAATGCTGGTGAGCGGCCTATGTTCCTTCATGAGGAGTATCCAGAGTCGTATAGGAACGTTAAACGTCTTAGTACTTATTTTATGATACTATTAAAATAGCTTTTTAGCTTATAAGATTGATGACGAAGATAACTTTTTTTGGCGTTATTGTGTTCATATGTTGATTTCGTTAAAAAATGAATATCCCAGCTTGTATTTATGAAAGTGTATTTTCATTACTGATATCATTTACTGATCTTAGAGTACCATTGGAAACCAAAGCCGATTGGACATCTGTTTTGTCCTATCATGGGACTCCTCAGCAGTTTGCATCCACAACCCAACAGGGATAGAACTCAGGAGCTTCAGATATCTCAGCGAACCCTGAAGCTTTAGACTTCGGACCTGACCTTTAGTGTTGTACATGTCTAGCTTTTCACCCAATCTCTTGAAATTTACTTTAAAAATTAATAATCAATAAGTACTTGATTAATATTAGTACAGAGGAATTTGTTTAGATGGTTGAATTTTCATATCTTACGTCACGGTTTACAACTCTGTCAACACATTGATTTCGTAAAACTTTGTAACCTCTTATCAAGATAATGATGTAATTGATAAATTCATTTTTCTTCCCGTCTTTATAAATGCCAATAAACTTTGTATTACCAAATGTTTTTATTTAACACAGTTACAGTACAAAGATATGGTATGTCATCAGAAATCACTGTTATTGAAAGGCAATCTGCATACTGATATTGGGGAAGTAAGTGACGCGTACATTTATAACTATTGTCGCTTTATGAACTGAATACCTCATGAGTACTAGTCAATTAGATTGAAATAAATATCATATTTGTTGAAATCTATGGAAAAAGCGATCACTAGATTATTAAATTTTAGTTGGATATTAAAAAAAATAACATTGTCTTTTCTTTAACTATGGTTACATATGTCATGGATTTTTCTTATTTCCCCATAACATTTTGATAAAATACAGTTTATATTTTAACAAATGAGCAGTTCTTTTTTTGTCTATATGAATCATTAGTACTGACGTTTTAAGCGTCTTTAGTGAGTTGTGGCTAAATTTCATGATATTCATGTTATTGACATTAAAGGGCTTAGAGATTGCTTATCAGATGCCGAATGCAGTGAAAATGCTTTTACATTTAATAGCCTTGATTGAACTAAGCAGTTTAGAGATAATGTGTAGTTTCTGTCACATGAAGTTGTTAATTGTGTTGGTTTTTGTAATTATTGAAATGTCTACATTACTATCTACTTAGTCATTATTATTTCGTCATTTCACTCATTATTTAACTGGACTACTCGAAGCGTTAGTGAATGAGGTAGACTATAAATTCAGTTTCGTAAAGATCCAACAGATGAAACAGTATGGCTTGTTTGAAATAATAAGTACTAAATACTCTGAGATCCGTAGATTGGGGATTATAATATTCGACTATCAACAACAGAATGTCAGGTTAGAAACCGGTTCTACTTATTTCAGTATACAAAACCGTTTACTGTCACCAGTTGTCACTAAAAAATATGTAGCTTAAAGTCAAGTGCAGAAAAGTGCTTCGTAAATGAAGTGCATTCAGACATGTAATGATCCAACTGCACTTAAGAAAAGTAACATTTGTTAGGTTCATCTAGTCGTCTTACGACACATACTTTGATGGTTTGAACATAATATTTGACGTGGAAATCACTAGAATTGCTAATTATCTTTCATAGGTGAACAATGAGGTGAAATAGATTTGAAGAAATAATGTTACACCTTTATGTAATTGTTTCATTTTTTCATGCCTATCATCTGCACTTTGATTTCATTCTCTGTCGTCATTGGAGGTTCAAAATCGTTTCTTCCTTCATTTTGTTGTTGTGATCTTACTTGGGTAAGTTGGATAGGTGGAATTCAACTGTGCCTGTTGTGAGGCAGTTATTCTCTGAAGGCAATGGTGGACGGTGGCGCAGTATCGTGGCCTGGTTGAGGGTAGACATTAACACCGTTGGATGCTGCCTAAGTGGTCTACAGGTTAAGCGCTCGTGCGCGAGACCGGCAGACCCCGGGCTTGAATCACGCGAGCGCGATCGTGGATGTGCACTGCTGAGGAGTACCACAATAGGGCGAAATGGCAATCCAGTGCTTCCAGGTTTTCCATTGTGGTCTAGCTTTAATCAACTCATGAATTCAACTATTAAATGGGAATTAGCATAAAATCAAAACTTTATCTTGGATTTTCTAATCTTAGTGGTTTAATAGTATCTACAGCATTCGTGACTACTCTGGTACTGGATGTTTTTCGATATGATTGTTTTCAGTTAAGTAGTTGAATTAACAAAACCTGTTCATTACTCCTTACCACCGATCAGTAAAATATTTTTATGTGGATAGAAAGAATTATTGTTAATCTCATTCATATTTCAGTTGAATTAAGTATTCAGATTTTATTTTCAAACTTTAATTTTCAAGCAGCCAAATAACATCAATCTTGTTTCCGAATCAAATCAAAACATACTTTTAATAAATTACATATCTTTTTCGATTTATCATCATATTTTATGGTATTGGATTTTATCAATATTGAAATAAAATCTTTGATAAGCATTTGTATGTAGATATTACATTTTGCTTGTGTAAAAAGTGCAGGTCTTTTTCTTAATTATTATTTTTATTCTTTCTTTTGAAATTGTTAAAAATTAAAGAACACATTTTATTCAGTTGTTCCTCTTCACTATTGAAGATGTTATTTTGATTTAAGTGGTTTTATTACTCAAATTTCATTTTCGATTGTTACAAAACATATTCGTCTTATAGTATTACGATTCATATTTATATTATTATTGTAAATTTATCATTTATGGTGCTCAAATATTTCATCGATGATAGGAATTGCTAAGATTGGTAAACTGTTTCAAAAAGAGACAAAAGTAAGTAACTTACTAACGGACACGAATAGTGATAAGTTCGTGCACTATACTAATAATTTCGCTACTTCGATTTCAATGTTGTGAAGTAAACTAATCTTATCATATTTTTCCTGCCTCCCTAGAGTAAAAACACCAGTTTTGCCGTTAAAGTGTTCACACCGAATAATTTATTGCAACAGAATTTCAACCTAATTGATATTGATGTAATTCTCATAGGTTGTAATTTGAGACTGTATATCGTCAACACCTCTTTTAATAGCGTGATTCTCTTAGGTTAACTTGGAACTGAACCGTCTGCCGCTGTTGTCTTGTCAGCTATCTCCTAGGACGTAGGTCTACCTGTTCTGGAGGTACTATCTTTGTTTCTTCTGGAATCGTTCAGTAGCTGCGGTAAATCGAAAATACCTACTGGTGATTACGCCTCCAAATGCCCTGGTATAGCCGAGAGCGGGGTTGGTTCGCCTACCCTCTCGAAATACTCTCACACGGCCACGCGTATACAGCCTCTGCCAGGGAAGTCCTACTCACTGTCTTCTCGTGGCAGGGGTGTTGTTTACGAAAATGAGAGGACGAAAAGCGAATGTCCGGCGCTTTAACCTGATTCCAAATCAATGGTGCACATGGGCTCCAGTATCCTGCGGGAACAAATGGCGTATGAACCAATTCCTTGGTCACCGGCTACCATGGAACTGCATCTCCTCACGATGCTCCACTGCCTTGTGGGTTAGACCTTTAGGTCAAAGGCTCGGGGTGTAGCCCCCTAAGGAAACCACCTGCTTCGGTTTGGGCACCCGGGCAGTATCTCAGCCCGCACACAAAAACATGATATACTACCTACTTATGAAAAATATTCCTCTCGCTTCAAATAACAATCAAGTGACTCGCATTATTATTATTATTATTTACTACGTCATTATTCACCCTCTTTTATTCCCACTCTGTTTATACTTACTTTTTCGACTTATACAGCAGCCCGTCTATGGTGGAAATTCGACTGTATCTAAACGTTCTCGAGTCACTGTCCGGTTGAAAATTGTATGTTACCACCGAATATGAGTACTGAAGCAGTTTTTCTGAAACCACGTGCACCATTCAAACTGGCTGCCTTCAACGTTCGCACATTTATGCAGGTCGGACAACAGATAGGCCTGGCTATGTTATTGGAAAGTCTTAATATCGACGTTTGTTGCCTATCCGAGACCCGTATTCAAGACTCTGGTGAAGTACTACAAATCCGCTCTCCATCTGTCGCTTCAAAAAGCTTGTTTTACGTGCGTTTATCCGGGGACCCTGTGGCATCTTCGTCTGGTCTTGCTCGCGTTGGTGTTGCACTAAGCGCTAGAGCTGAGGCAGCACTAATCGATTGGATCTCCATTAACAATCGGTCATGTGCTGTTAGATTAGAAAGTTCCATCAAAGTGAGAAGAAATCGGCGTGAGAAACGATGTCTTTTCGTCATCTCCGCTTATGCCCCGACAGATTGCAGCCCGGATGCAATCAAGGATGAGTTTTACCACCATTTATCTGTTCTTCTCCAGAACGTGCTTTCGACAGATATTGTAGTACTAGCCGGAGACTTGAATTCTCAGGTCGGGCGTCTAGGCACAGAAGAGAGTCGCTTAGGTGGCCGATGTGGACATGTTGGTCGCAGTACAGATAACGGGGACCGTCTACTGCAACTGTGCACAGACCACAACCTGTTTCTGGCTAGCACTAACTTTCGGCACAGTCATCGCCGATGTGCCACCTGGCGTCCTCCCTCTGCATCTCAAGCCTGGACTCAGATTGTTCACATCACGATCAGCTACCGCTGGCGTGGTTGTGTAAAAGACTGCCGCTCCTTTTGGAGTGCCTATCTGGACTCTGACCACGCTTTGGTCTGCGCCAATCTTACCTTACTTTTCAGTGGACAACGAAGTGACCGCCACCAACGGATTGATGTTAGCAAGCTGGTTGCAACTTCTGTTGCAAGTAAGTATCGAACCGCGCTAGCCTCTAGGCTAGCTACCATTCTACCGAAAAGTATAGATGAGCATTGGTTGCAATTGCATGACGCCATGAAAATGGTGGGTACAGTCAGTTGTGGGTTTGTGAAACGTCCCGCTTTTAAGCACTGGGTTTCTTCTGGTTCCTTACAACTCATTGAAGCCCGTCGGTCTACTCCCGGTGACTGTGAGTTTGACCACAAACGAAGGTTGTTACATAGTGAAATTGGGTAAAGCTTGCGTAAGGACCGAGAAGCCTGGTGGTCGGAGCGTGCTAATGAGCAGGAAGCAGCAGTTGCATCTGGTAATTACCGGAAGCTCTTCCAACTCATCCGAGCCACTGGCAGCAAGAAGTCTGGTGTGAGTGAAACAATCTGCGAGGATGACGGGATGCCAATCACTAACATCCATCGACTTCTTGGACGAAGGGCAGAATTCTTCAAAGGGCAGTTCAACTGGCCTACTGCTCCGGCAGCATCGGTCAGACTGTCCTGCCCTCCATGGCCGGTGACGACTGATCCACCAAATGAGGCGGAAGTTCTCAAGGAACTCCAACTCTTGAAGAACTACAAATCACCTGGCCCAGATGATTTACCTCCGGCTCTTTTTGAAAACGGTAGTGACTTTCTGGCTAAGAAACTGACTGTGTTTACAAAGGTCTGAAAACTTGAGAGTGTACCAACTTCATGGAATGAGTCGATAGTCGTCCCTACCTTTAAAAAGGGTTCACGTCATTCCTGTAAAAACTATCGGGAGATAAGTCTACTTCCGATTGCGTCCAAGCTATTGGCTTCTGTCATACTTCGTTTGTTGGTCAAAACCCGAGAAAGATTGACTCGCGAGGAGCAGGCTAGTTTTCGTTCTGGTCGAGGATGTATTGATCATACGTTTACTCTCGGCAAATGTTAGAACACCGTCATACTTATCAAAGGCCAACAATCGTAGTGTTTCTTGACATCAGGGCTGCCTTCGATTCATTGGATAGGACTGTTCTCTGGGATTGTCTATTGAAGAAGGGTGTGCCTGAGAAGTTTATTAACATCTTAAAGGTCTTATGTACAAGAACCTGGGGCAGAGTGAGGGCATACAACCACCTCTCTCCATTGTTCCATTCGAGCAGTGGGGTTAGACAGGGTTGCCCAATCTCACCATTCCTCTTCAACTTTGCCATCAATGACATTCTGGAAACAGCTCTTATGGATATAAGTAATGGCGGTGTGGATCTGTTGCCTGGAGAAAGGCTTCTCGAGCTTGAGTATGCGGATGATATTAACTTACAGTGTGATAATGCCCAAGGCATGCAATCCGCACTTAATCAGTTGGCAATCAGTGTCCGTAGGTACGGTATGTGCTTTGCACCTTCGAAGTGCAAAGTATTTCTACAAGAATGGCAGGATTATAATCCTGTACTCACCCTGGATGGTGAGCAGATAGAAGTAGTCGAGAAGTTCGTGTATCTGGGTAGCTGCATAAGTGCTGGTGGTGGTGTGAGTGATGAGAACAATGCACGTATAGTGAAAGCCAGAGCGTTTTATGCCAATCTGGGCCATCTTTGGCGCCTTCGTGATGTCAGTCTGGTCGTAAAAGGTTGGATTTACAACGCGTCGGTGAGAGCAGTTTTGCTCTATGCTTGTGAAACCTGGCCTCTCCGAGTTGAGGACGTTAGACGACTCTCTGTGTTCGATCATCGTTGTCTCCGAAGGATTGCTGACATCCAGTGGCAACACCATGTTAGTAATGCAGCATCGTGTGTTCGGGCATAGAGACGATAATGCAATTGGTGTCACCGTCTTGAAACACTGACTTCGGTGGCTTGAACATGTTCTACTAATGTCGTCTCGGAGAATTCCACGTCGTGCATTATTTGCCGACTCTGGGACTGGTTGGACAAAAGCGGAGAGGTGGTCAGTATATGACATGGTGTCGTGGTATGAAAGAAAGCTGTAAAGGACTGGCTTGTGTCGGTCCTTCACGACTCCCTGGTTGGGGTCCGAGAGATGGTGCTACACAGTGGCTAGAAACGTTATCAGATATGGCTCAGAGTAAGAGTCAGTGGCGATCCTGCTGTAACCTTCTTTTATTTTCTTCATAAAAAAGTGGTTGTATCTCCCTTAACTGAAAAATTTCTTCTGATTGTACCTTTCTGTTCCGCCATGTTTACCATTATTATTATTACACTACCTTACACTAATCTGGTCGTTGTTGTTCTTTTTTTGTTTTACTCTCCTCACCTTTTTTCCTTCTCTTCAAATTACCATTGTTTTGTGTGGCGCATATATATTTGGTGCCCTCTTGTACCAATATTTATGTGTTCAAATAAATAAATTGTTGTTTCCAGGGGCACGTTGCTTGTTGTTATACGCTCCTAATTTACGCGTTTTCATAATGGATTAAGATATGTCCATTTGTCTTTTCCAACTACCCCATACATTACCTGACCCAGCCTTCGTTTCACACTTCCCTCTATCCTCGTGTCGTGTCTCTTTCTGTTATTCCGGACGAACACAGGAGCTCTGATTTCAAATGTCGATATTTTCACTGGTATTGATTTTTTTTAACAAGTAATCGCATTCTGTAACATCGAGTGGTTAGTTGTTATAAATCTGTGGCCCTCGAGGACTTCAGCTGAAGATTTCCGATTCGCTATACTTCGTTTATTATAGTTCTATACAATAACATAAGATTGCGCAATTTATCGATGGGTCCGTTTTTTGTTTGATTTTAGAAATGCTCTTTTGAAAGTATCGATAAACCGCTCTGCTTGTCCATTTGAATGGGGATGGTATGGTAGTGAGTGAATGTTTGATGGGTTTACAGGGTCAGAACTTTTGGAGATGTTCTAAAGTGAATTGTAATTGATCATCTGACACTGATATCTGGAACTCCGTTGCGAGAAAAGATCTCTGCCAGTATCTGGAGGGTTTCTGTTGTTGTAGGTGGAACCACTCGAAGAATCTTTTGCCATTTTGAAAATGTGTCAACGAATGCCAAATATGCGATGTCACTGACTGGTCCTGGAGAGCTTATATGGATTCTGGACTATGGATTTCCGAGTAGTTGCCGTAAAACTGGGGGCACCGGTCTGTTGAGTTTTGTTGCTTGTTGACACAGCGCAGCCGTTCACAAATTTCCCAATATATGCTCATCATTGTAATAACACTTGATGGCTTTTATTTCTTGTCAGTGGTTTTTTTTAAACTTAAGTTTTTAACGCTCACTCAGTCATAATAAACGTGGCGCCTGGTGCAAATGTGTTTTGGTCCAAGTTGCCATATCACTTCAACACGAGATAAAATCAACATAATAAGTATCAAAGAAGTCGAAATTATTATTGTACCAATGATACTATGAAAGACTAAACATTCAAAACCAAGTCATTAGCTAATTGGATGTGTTGTAATCTGTCTTCAATCTGATTATCATATTAATCAGATCCTATTAGTCTGGTATTTACATCCTTAACCGAGAACTCATTATTTGGTGCTTCAACATAAACTAGCTGACATCAGGTGTATCATTAAAATTCATTCATTATCGGAACAGTTCTTTATTAGTCGATCCTGCTTTATTGCACTTTTTGAAACATCATTTAATGACTGTTTGTAAATAATAAGCTTCGATTGAAACGCTGTTTTGTAACATGTTTACAAATTATAAGCAAAGATGAATGGTGGCTAGCAGTGGAATCCAGGACGCGCGTTTCGTCCTGTTTTGGACTCGTCAGCTGGATGTACCTGCACCTCAGAGTTGATGTTCACTTTGGGACTCGAACTCAGTACCGTTCGCTTCAAACGCCATCGCGTTATTTAAACAGGACGAAACGCGCGTCCTGGATTCCACTGCTAGCCACTATCCATCTTTGCTTATAATGCTTGTAAATTAAGGCAATATCGAGGCATACGCACAGTATGCACATATGCCAATAAGAGACTGACCAATTTCAGTCCTAAAACATCAATGGGAATATTCAAGTAAAAACAATATCAAGTGAATGTTTACAAATTGTTTAATGTCTCGGAAAACAAGTACGTCAGGTAATCCACCTGACAACAACAATGTTCATCATCAAAATACTCTGAAGTACTTTTAAAACTTTCATAGTAATTTATTGAAATCTTTATATTTCAGGTAGCCGTTTTTGTTTTTCCTCAATTAATGCTTATAACAATAAGTTCTGAACCCGATAATAATAGTCGATTAATATCACGTTGCTATTATGGTAAATTATCACGTCAAATCATCAAGTCGCATGTTACTACTTCATCTAAAAACTCACCAACTTCACTTGTCCCTCCACTATCGTCTATAATATGCTCTGAGAATACACGAGTTTATAGTCACCGATGGTCTTTGTTATCCATTTTAAGGACTCGTTCACCATCTGATTCGGGAAATGTTACCCATATACCTTTTAACTCAGGAAATCGACCTTCCAAGTATGCACGATTATTTCGACGTTTATCATCAATTATGACATCATCGTCGACAAAGTTGGACATTTCAAGACCTACAGCAACAACGTCTTTCACACCAGCCGATGAAACTGTCAGTCTTGAACGATTTCGTATTTGCTATCCGCCTTTAATATTAAAAGATTATATTTTGGAAGATATAAGTGATGATAGTATTCCTTCAACTATATTGAAATTTCCTTTTTCCGCAGAAAAAGCTCGTAAGTTTTTTTATTTTCGTAGTTTGTTTCTTGTTTTGCTATACTCTGTAACTGCTAACAGCATAATGTTGAATAAAAAGGACTAGAATCAAATCGACTAATAGGTAGTCAATCATTCTAATTATGTAATTTAAATTCATAATTTGTAATCATAATATTCTGAATAGAAAGATCCTTATTTAATTCATTTTAAATCACCTGAAACTATTTATCATCAGATCAGTGGTGTAATTCTTATGGATTGTATCAAGCTGTTTTTACTTAACAAATTCACGTTTTTTGGATAATAACAATGTATTCAGTAAGCAACAAAGTGATGTTGAATATTTCAGGAAATAAAGAACTTTTTTATGTTGGCTACAAATGTTCAGTTCGTCTGAAATATTTCTGTAGTTATTTAGAATTGATCATGTATACTATTCTGTACGATAAATCCACGAAATTGTCATAAATTCCTTATTTGAAAAAACTTGAGATATAATAATATTATCCCCTTTAAAATATTTTTGAATTTGGGCAATATATTTTTCCCATTTTCGTTTCCATTGTTTAAAAGACACACAGAAGTTAGGCTGTTCAATCCTATAATTCTTTCACGTTGTATTAGAATTGTGTGTACTGACGAAACTCTCAATGTCAGTTCATTAATAATCAGGCTTATTAGAAGGAATAACAGATTGTAGCATGTTCAGTATTCTCATCAACATGGTTGGTCGACAGCTGTTTTGACTGTAAGTTGTTTCTGAGCTCTTTAGATCCCTTACTAAAATGCTCGGTCCAAATAAAAGGAGCTTCGTACTTCAATGATTTTATCCTTGTGAACAGGCGCAACATTTCATAAATTTCTTGTCACTTAAGTTTCACCGAAATCGGCAGTAACATAGCTCGTGTACTTATTAGACAGTTCGCTGATACTAATGAATATATATTTAAACAGTATTTGTTAAACCGTCTAATTTCTTCCTGACCAAATATCTTAGAAACCAATAAAGTATACTTTTTCCCCTCATATTTTCGTAGCTTGTAGTTTACCATGATACATACTTGATATCGTTGACGATTGTTTCACTCACGCTAATTTTTTTCGATGGCGTCACTCAATATTCATGTATATGGGTTAGTAGTTAAATTGTAAAAAAAACCCAGCTTATTTACTATTACATTTCTGAACATTCAAGAGTTTTCTCCCAAGGGAAATTAATATACCTATCGGCCTACTTCAGAGCAACTTATTATCTATATTTTTAGCTGATAATTAAACTTTTGATCTAGTTCGTGATAACTCTTTAGTGTTCATTTAAGTTTTTTCATAGTTTTTGTTTATAATAACTTAATGGTTATACAATATATATAATATCTTTTTTCAGATCAAAATTTATTCAAACTCTCTCCTTATGAACATAGTGTAAAACGAAAATCTGGAAGAACTTCAGCCAAACAATCCGATTTATTACATTCACACGAAAAGATTATATCAAGAACATCTCGTGAAACAAAATGGTTTTCTTCGTCATCATTGACTAGTAATAAAACTTCATCGTTGTTACGAAAATCTCGAAAAACAATATCTAGAGAGTTTCTGTTTCAAGCGTCTAGTCTGCAGGATAAAAAATTTTGGATAACTACACTGACACCACTTGTTCGCAGTTATTATCAAAGAGAATCATGCAACGACTTGGTTTTAGTTTAATTTCAAAGAGACGAGAATTGTTTGACTGGTTGTTGATTTCTTCTTCTTTTTATTTTAGTATTTAGTATCCTCATTTTATCATCGTCATTTTAGAGACGGAGTATAGTATTCGTGAAATGTTATTCCCGTTTATATTTTTATTTTCTATTTTTGTGCAATCGGTCCTCTCTCGCACGCACCTACACTTTATTCCTTTCAAAAATGGAACATAATACTGATTCATTTTATTTTCAGTGATTTTCTTCTTAGCAGTGTGTATGCACAGTCTTTTTGTTGAAAATACGAAATACAATCAACGTGTTTATCTTTCGCTCAAAAAAAAACTAATTACTATTTTAATCATATCATTTCTCTTATAGTCTTTCATATTCTTAAATGCAGGTATGATTTCACTTTATCTATTTGTCAATTTTAATAATTGAATATTTTCTAATACAACACTATAGTTATTGTTATTATTCATAATAATAATCATAATAATATACATCTTATTTTCTACTTCACTCATTTTCCTAATTATCCTCAGTTTGTTGATGAAAGATATGGTGATGGCGATGAAATGGAAGATACAAGTTGTCCTCTATGTGTTCACTGTGTGTTTACGTCTGTATGTACCTACTATATATGTTACCACTAGATAATGTTAAACAGGTGGCAAGCACAGTACTATTAAGTGAGGTACTGAAAGAATCCAAACAAAATTATATAATTGTATTGTAAACAGTTCATATGTCATTTTGTTGATGAAATTTTTTGTAGACAGTTCATCCTTAATTCTTAGAATTTTATAACTGTTGTGAAAATACGAGGTTGATTTAATGAGTTACCAAATTTACAAATGAGGAACAGTTCTCTCTTCAAACGAAGGATATATAAATTAATGTGTGTTAGAAAATCACGCACTTCTGGTGATAATAGGCTTTTTACAGACTACTTAATCTGTGCATTCATTTATAACGCGTGTTTTATACAGTAGATCCAATAAATTATTACGAAAAATAGAATGAATATGTTGTTCGAGATATAGAAGAGGTAAAGTCAAATAAATTAACAAGAATAGTACTTGTTAAAAAGTTTTATTTCACCTAAGAATGTAAATGAATTGGATTTTATTCAGTAGAAAAGTGGCATTTTCTCATTATGATAACATAGAATTATCTTCTCCAATCCGGAACAGACATTGTTGGATTTTCGCATTGATTGCATCATGTTTTAACTAAACGTCGAACACACACACCATCAAGTGTACGAGTTTGTGTTATTTTTTAGTGCTTGGTTGTAGCAGATAGTTTGAAATTAATTTATGACAGAAATTAGACCAATTGTGGGAATTAAACACTTCAAGTACTCACATCTGTCAGTTAGTTCATTTGAGCAAGTACATGAAAATATTCGAAGCGAATGATGGGAAAAATGTTGGAATGAGGAAATCAGTGAGGTGAGTGCTGGTTGAGTAAACATTACTTTCAAATCTCTTGCATGAATGCTGGAAGTTTGGTGTATTGTTGCATACCATTTTTACTCACTATGTCAATGTGATCTGTTTATTTGTTAGTGACACATCTGTTATATTGTGGATGCTATGTTTCTAAATAAATCGTATGAAAAATAAAGTCTTAATTTTTCATAGTGATTTTCATTCAATCAACATTCACGTGTTTCGTTGTATTATTCAGAGTAAACCCTATTCATTAACATTTTAGTGGTTATTTCATTCTCAATGTATTGATTACCTCACTATAGTTTAGTGTCCAATGTTAACTATTTCAGCAATAATGCTCAGTAATCGAAAATTATTGAATTGATACATAACTGAATTAAATTGGTTGTAAATCTTAATTTAACGTGATCTCTTCCAATAAATCTTAACATTATTTGTCTTTTTGAGTGTCTAGAACATGGAAAATGTTGTTGTGTACGGTATAGTAGTTGTCGTTAGAGCTATCGCAGCATATCTCGCTCTGTAGCTGTATATTTAATGTATCAATGTTTTAACAAGGAACTAGCATTTAAAAACCAATAGTTTCGTTTCAAGTTTGCAGTTTATTGTAATACAATGTTCTCTTTTGCTATCTGTCGACATATTAACATATATCCATTACGTTTAGTTGTGTACTATCGAATAGATATCAACAAGTTATGTGACTTCTGTAAGTCCATAATTATCTCAGTAGCTAAAAGAATTAAAACAAGACATTAATTATTTACTAGTAATCACTTATTATTTAAAATAATGCACGACTTAAAACTTAAAAAAGCACAGAAAAGAATAAGATTTTGTACTGTTTTTAAATTGCAAACAAAACGTGGTTCATAAAGTCTAAAATGTACAATAAAATAAAATAGTTTTAAACCTAAATATTAATGACTTTTGTCTATTTCTTACTCTACTTTCAAACTAAATTCGCAAAAAATAATTTCCTGATGTAACCATGTTGGCTGATTATTTTGCCAGTGTATTTTATCTAAAAAGAAAAACCCAATTAAAATAAAAAATAAACATTTAATAATAATGTGTTAATAGATAACATTATCAAATTGATTAATACATGCCTTTTTTTGGCCTTTGTAAAATATCACAATAATCATAGACTTATAACTGTAAAGTATGATGATGAAGTTATCGAAAAAAACAATTGGTCGTTCAAATATTCTTCATTTTTTGAATAATGTGTTAATATAAACCTGTGAATTAATTTAATTAATTAACTAAGTAATAGGTAATAATTATGAATTTATTATTGCTACTACTTTTAACTATTCATTATTTATTATTTTCTCTCTTATTGTTTTGTTTTCTTTGTTAATCTATGTTAATCGGTTTAATAAATTAGATTGTGAAAATAAATATTAACAACTATTAATTATTATTTACAATTTCATAAATTATTATTACTACTATGATTAGAATTATTCATATTATTTAATTCTGTAATTCTATACATGTATGTACATGTTTCATGACTTATGTATTTATGTAAGTATATATTAATGTAAGATGATATAATGGTTAGGTTATTCCTAATATTGTTGTTGGGAAAATCATATTTATTTATTGTTTTCTTTTTTTTTCCTTTTGTATTTTCATATCTAGGGTGTGATTACCACCTCTGATTAAACGTTGGTCAAGAAATATCACCAATTGTTATTACAGAAATGTTGTATTTGTATTCATGTATATGTCCACCAGGGTTCTTGGTACCTGTGTGGTTGCGCCACGGGATTGAGCTGTACTGTTCAGATTGTAGCGTTAAAGCCTGTACGGTGTCTGGTTCCCCTGCTAAACGGGGTCGAGCTGTACTGTTTGGGTTTTTACGTGAAGGTCCGGATGGTGTCTGGTTCTCCTGAAAACCAATGTAAAATTACCCTGGCCCACAAGGGTATATTATATTACTGTTGCCCCCAAATGCCCTGGTACGGCCGAGAGTGGGGAGAGTCCGCTCTCCCTCTCGAAATACTCTCACACGGCCACGCGTATATAGCCTCTGCCAGGGAAGTCCTACTCACTGCCTTCTCGTGGCGGGGGTGTTGTTTACGAAAATGAGAGGACGAAAAGCGAATGTCCGGCGCTTTAACCGGATTCCAAACCAATGGTGCACATGGGCTCCAGTATCCTGCGGGAACAAATGGCGAATGAACCAATTGTTGGTCACCGGCTTCCATGGGACTGCATCTCCTCACGATGCTCCACTGCCTTGTGGATCAGACCTTCAGGTCGAAGGCTCGGGGTGTGGCCCCCTAAGAAAACCACCTGCTTCGGTTTGGGCACCCGGGCAGTATCACAGCCCTCACACATATCGAATGAGATTTGTGTGGCGCATATGTATTTGGTGCCTCTTTGTACCATTATCTATGTGTTGAAATAAATAATAAATAATAATACAATAAGAGAGTTCAAATTACAAGATAATTTGACTTTCATTTGTTATTCTTTTTGTACAGAAGTAATAATGGATAGATATCACGTTTATTTATTGTCCAGATTTCAATTGAATCCAATGTTTTTTTGGGAAATTGTTCTCGTATATTACATTCCATAGGCAATGGTTACGTCAATAGGCAGATAGGGGTGGGGCTACTTAGATATCATGAAAATAAATGAACTAATGGTTCACATCATCGATTGGTATTAACTAGAGAAACAGTGAAAACCAGAAAGCCCTGGACATCATGGTATATGACTCCTCAACTATGTATGGAGTTCAGTCATATAGAGTGTAAAATAACTACTTACCACTGGGAGTGGAAGATGATTACACAGTAATGTGAGTTGATTAGAGTTAGAAACCTAAACCATTGGATGCCCAGTCAGTGGCCTAAATGTTGAGCACTCGTCGCGAGATCTAAACGTTTTGAGCTCTATTGTCGGTGAGGTCGTGAATGAACACTGCTGAGGAGTCCCATGATATAATGAAACAGCCGCTTAATGCTTTCCAGTTTTCAGTGGTTGTCTAAGTGCTGTCAGTTCGTGGTGTCGACTATAAAATTCAATAATCTACACAAATCTGTACAAACCATAATTAACAAGGGCAAAACATTATAATCATGTGTTATATTCAGTGATTAGTTAAATTAGTGTTTTTGTAAACATCAGAATAACGTCTATTCAGATAAACCGATAACATTTATGTGTGTGATCATGTATATATATATAGTTAAAATTACCTCTAAGCTGCGTGATTCAGTCATGAAGCCGTCACTGTCTTCCGATACACCGAAAACCTCAGATGGACTTTTGAATTCTATCATAAACTGTATCATCCTTCTAAGCAGCGGATATCTATCATATTTATGTAGAACTCATAATTATAACTATTTACCTAAGGCTCTAAATTATGGAGTTTACTTTTCAGTTTCATTTAGATCTATCATATATGTATTCTTTCTTACAAACTATACTTTTTAATAATATATTCCTACTACTGAATATTGTTTTATTTTACTACACACGTTTCTATTGTATTCGTATTATTTAATAGTACTTTTTAATGAATTTATTT